GTGCTCCGTGTGACCGCATGGAGTGAGACGCCGCGTCATGGCTGGATGAGGGCCCGCTTCCGCGTGTGGCTCTTTGAGAGCTCACTTCGTGTGCGCTGTGTGCAGGCAGCGGGGCTGTGGCCGTATCCCGTTGTCGTGGGACTGAACTGGAGGCGATGGTGGCGGTGGGTCACTTCTTCTCCTTGTCCATTGGTGTGTGGCTGCTGGCGGTGTTTGCCTTCCTTTTGTGGAGGGCCGAATCCTCTCGCCCGCGGACTGACGGCACTGCGATGGTGTTTGTGTGTGTGAGGGCTGGTGTGGAGTCGCCGGCCAGTATGAGGGCCTTGGCGGTGCTTTTCCCGAGACTGGTGTTTGTTCCCTCCGTGTGTTTGTGCTGCTTCTTGCTTTTCCCCTGTCATTCTCTCCTCCTTTGTTACTGCGTGGAGTGGCCGCATGCTCACGGGCCATGTTGATCGTGAGTGCGTCTTGACGACATCCATCCATCTCTCTCACTGTGTGTCTGTCTGTCATTCCCTGTTGGGTGTGTGGCGTGTCGCACCGCGTGAGGGCTGGCCCGCACACACCGACGGCCCGCCGTGACTTGCCGTGTTGCTGCGCTTTTCTGTGTGCGATGGTTCTCCGTGCTGTCCCTTACGGATTGTCTTGTGTCCCGCTCTCTGCGTGGGTGCTCTGCTCCAACCTCCGCTGACGTGTCTGATGCATTGCCGCTGTTGCTGCTGTACTCTCCAATTATTGAACACAGACACGCTAGGAAAGAAGGAAAACAAGCGCTAATCGCTACTGTGAAATTCGAGGGCACTGAAAGGACCAACAGCACACACACACCGCCCACACACATATTTATATGCTCTTACGTGTTGCTGCTGTCATGGCACCCCGCACACACAACCGTTGCCGCGTGACCGGATCCAGCGGAAGGAGGAGGGAAGGAGGAGAGAGTGAGCCGCAGAGGCCCAACATGTCCCGGCGTGTGTTTACTTCCGCGGTGCTGCTGCTTCTCGTCGTGTTGATGTGCTTTGGCAGTGGTGCTGCGCACGCTGAGCAGGCAGGGGCCGCTGTTGATCCTTTCACAGGGACGACGCCGATATCATTTGCTAATTGGAAGGAGTTTAACGAGGCTGGCGGCAAAATCACCTCGCACCGTGTTCCTGGCCTTGTTAAAGTGGGTGATGATGTATTTGCCGTTGCTGAAGCGCAGTGCGGGGAAAGGAATGAAGCCGGCAGCTGTGCTGGGATTGTCTCAAAGCGCCTGGATATAAGTGGTGACTCAATGGATATTTCGACGTCGGATATAAGTTTGTTTCGCATGCAACTTGGGGACACCGCCGCGAATAATTTTGGGGCAACAGAAGTGTTGCGGCCAACGACGCTTGTGCTTGGGGACAGTGTTTACATGCTCCTGGGAAACTACAGCCATAAGAAGCCGCAGGATGAAGTTAAGAATGAGCGGGGCCTTTTGCTCGTGAAGGGAACTGTCACGGTGGATGGTGGAAACAAGAAGAAACTTGTGTGGAATGAGACCCATGTGGTGAACCCTCAAGCCATAGGATATTCTGGTTCCTTGACCGAGTTTTTGGGTGGTGGAGGATCGGGTGCTGTGATGCGTGACGGCACGCTTGTGTTTCCCATGCAGGCCAAAGGCAGGGATGGAACGAGAGTTTTACTGTCTATGCGTTTTGACCCGTCAGACAAAAAATGGGAGCTTTCATCCGAGACGCCTGGTAACGGCTGCATGGATCCAACCCTGGTGAAGTGGGAAAAATACGAAGGCGACGAAAGACTCTTCATGATGGCTCATTGTGCTGGAGGCTACTATGACGTTTACAAGTCCACTCCGGAAGGAGCCAACTGGTACCCATCGGGTGAGCCAATTACCCGCGTGTGGGGCAACTCACACAATCGAAAGGGGTACGGCGTCCAGAGCGGATCCACCACCGCAATCATTGAGGAAAAGGAGGTGATGCTCATCACCGCGCCGGTGTATCCGAAGGACAATAAGGGTGGAAAGGGTCGGCTTCATCTTTGGGTGACGGACACGTCACGTGTGCATGATGTTGGGCCGGTATCTCGTGAAAGTGATGACGCAGCCGCCAGTTCGCTGTTGATGAAAAGTGGGAAGGATAATAAGGAGGAGTTGATTTCACTGTACGAGAACAAGAAGGGCGACGGAGCATACAGTCTCGTTGCTGTGCATCTGACCGAGAAACTGGAGCGGATAAAGGAAGTGGTGAAGAAATGGAAGGATTTGGACAGCGCCTTGCATTCATGCCATTCCGGTTCCAGCGTCACTGTCGACTTGCCAACGAAGGGTATGTGCAATGGTCGTGTTCCCACTGGTGGGCTTGTTGGCTTTTTGTCTGGTAACTCAACTGGGACCGAGTGGCGAGACGAGTACCTCGGCGTGAACGCAACAGTCCATGGCCCAGCGGAAAAAAGGAGAGAAGTTCCCAATGGATTGACGTTCAAAGGACCCGGAGCGTGGGCGGTGTGGCCTGTTGGCGACATGGGGCAGACTGTGCCGTACTACTTTGCGAACAACGAGTTTACTCTTGTGGCGACGGTGTCCATCCACGAGGTGCCGAAAGAAAGCAGCAGCCCCATCCCCTTGATTGGCGTGAGGATGAATGACACCAAAGGCACGGTGCTATTTGGTCTGTCGTACACCCATGACAAGAAGTGGCTGGCCATATCTGAGAATTCTGGTAATGTGGAGGATCTTTTTGAGTGGGAGCCAAACGAGACATATCAGGTGGTACTGCAAATGGATTATTATTATTGGACGGTCGTTGTAAATCGAGAGGAAATCCACAAGACGAAATATAATACGAGTCTGTTTAACTCGCACAGGATCTCACACTTCTACATCGGTGGAAACAGTAAGGACCAAAGTGCAACGGGCGGCCACGTGACGGTGACCAACGTCATGCTGTACAATGAGAAACTGTTGGGAAGTGAACTGTATGAACTCCATGCCAGCAAAGTCACTATTCCATCACTGGGTGTTGAGAAACAACCCACAGAACAGGCGGCCAACACGGGCGCTTTGGTTGCTTCCGAGTCAAACAGTGAAGAAATCGCCACCAGCCATGAGGAATTGAATGAGGGTGATACTGATGAACAAGAGGAAGAAAACGTCCTTAATCTGGTGCCTGCAGTGTCCTCTTCCACGGTTGCCGGGGGATCCTCTGTTCCTGAACCCGCCACCGCAACGGAGATTGCAGGGAATTCTCGTTCAGATGACAATGCCCAGCTTTCCGAAGGCGAGACGTCTCAGCAAGCCACGCTGAATGAAGACAATGAATCGATGCAGCGGGATTCGGAGATGCAGCCACAAGACCCACAGCCAGCGGAATTAACGGAGGTCGCTGATGTTGAAATGTCCTCTGGAAGTTATGATGAAGAAATGCCAGAGGAGGAGGAAGAGGCGGATGGCAGGAGTGGCGGATCAACGTCTTCAGGGGCTGCATCATCGGATATGGACACGGTTGCTGCACCAGTGTACGGTGAGCAACAAGTGCAACAAATCACTGAGCCTTCCGCTGAAAATGACGACGTGCGGTCCACTGGAACCGTAACTACCGGCGCGGAGGAAAGTTTCAGCCTCGAGACGGGGGACAGAAATTCCGAGAGAACAATGGGCTCAGACAGCAGCCCCACTCCTTCAAAGACTGACGTCGAACCGACCTCCGCGGAGGACACCGACAACATCTCTCGGACTGACGGAGCCGAAGTTTCTTCTGAAGACGGCAAGGAGGTGCCACGGACGGTCGACACCGCACCGGAGAATAAAAACACCACGCCTGGGGAAACCAAGATCCCATCGGAGTCCAACGCAACAACACCCTCGGACACTGACGTTTTGCTTGAGCACGGGCATTTGGGCGAGTTGGCGGCCATGTATCTAATTGGTGACAGCACCGTGCATGGGTGTGTGTCCCGGGTGTTGTTGCTGCTGCTTCTGGGACTGTGGGGCACTGCGGCTCTCTGTTGAATGAATTGGAAAGAGCAAAGTTGAGAAATTCTGTGGAGCAACAACTGAGCGGCATCCCAGCATTACTCAATGAGTTTTGTTAATTCCACCTTTTTTTTTTCCTTCTTTTCCTTTTTCTTGTTTTGCTTTAATTATTTCCCTTATCTTGCTTGTTGCCTTGGGGCAATCACTATGGACGTTTTTTCTTTTCTACTCTTCCCTCTTTTAATTGTTTTTTCTGCACTCTTCCTGTGAGGGGTGCCGTGTGTTTCCCGCCCAACTGCTCCACTCGCACACCCACCGACACGCTCATGACGACGGCCCTGTGCGCCTCGCCTGCTGCACGCATGAGGAGGGGCCGCGACGAACGGCGCGCCGAGGGAGCCGTGACGTGTGGGCGTGCGACGAGGGCCTGTGGGGCGGAGCACACATTTCTTTCCCTCTTGTTTTGTTTTTATTGCGGCCAGGGCGGGCAGACACCCGCAGCGCCACACACACACAGCCACACCCTGCCGCTTTTTTAGGATTTTTCTTTTGCTTTGCGTCTTTTTTTTTTTTTTTGCGCTGGCGCACCCTTCGGTGTCGGCCTCGCGAGCATTTCTCTCCCTTCTGATGATTTTTATTTTTTTTGCTGCGCTCACTCTCCCGATGGAGAGGCGCGACTCCCGTCATGTCTGCGTGCTTCTCTCAGTCCCCACACACAAGAAGAGTGACTGTGCTCTGCGGGCCGCACTCACGCGCCGATGAGAGGGCTGAGGGGAGCAGCAACACGCAGATGGCCCCATGAAATATAAACGATGTGCGGACACATGGAGGGTCAGACGGTTGAAAGACACGCAACTATTTAATTTTATTTTCGGACAATATATGCAGACGGTTCCTGGAGCAACATGGTATTTAGGTTCTTTTTGTTTGTGGTTTTTTTTTTTAAATTGTGTGGAACAGTAATAGAGGACGGCCTTTTTTTTTCTTTTTCTTTTTTTCTTTTCTTTTTTTTTATTTTCAAAGTGTGAGGGGAGGAAAGGTGAAGATGAATTTTTTTATTTATTTTAATAATTCTTGTATGAATTGCCACTGCTTGGGCTGCAGTGCAGTCACGAGCTTGAGCAGTCTTTTTCCCTTTACTTCTGCCATGCACTTCTGCTGTACGTTTTTGTTTGTGTGTCCCTTCACATGCTCTGCTCCTGTTTTTACTTCTTTGCCTCGTGTGTCTGCAGGCACACACAACCACATGCACGCACAAAATGCACATTGCAGTGGATTTGGATGCTTCTTTTGTAGCGGTTGCTGGCGGTTGCGGGTGGCGGCTGCTTCCTTTAGTGGGCATGAAGGGAAGGAGGAGAGAGGGAGCGCGCACCGCGAGTCACTCTTTCCTGCGGGTGTGATGCGCGCGGTGGGCTGCGACTGCTGTGGAGGGCTGCATCCTTTCGGTGTGCGCTTCTCCGCCGTTGTTCCGTGCGTTTGCGCATGTCATTTGTTATGCGCGTGCGTGCTGGGCATGTTTTTCCGGAGCGTTGGGCGGCCACCATCTTTCTATGGCGGTTTACGTGAGTGAGTACGTGCGGATGAGGGTCAGGGCGTATGGAATGAATGAATGACTTGAGGAAAGGGGAATTTGATTTGGAGGGTATTTGGACCAGATTCATTTGGCTGCGGTGGACACATGCACGACGGATGCGTTTCCGCATAATTGGGGAGGATGCGACAGGATTTTCCGAATTGGCCCGTCAATGCAATTCGGGTTTCATAGCACTGAGGCACAGTGGTCTTCCTGCAATGGCTGGCGACGGCCTCTGGTGGACCGGTGTATTTATGCTGCTGCTGCTACTCGAGGAGGCGTATAAGTGCAATTTGAGGTGAGCGGCGGAAGGGCCACACACGCCGCAGTGACGGTCGTCGTTGGCCCACCGGGTGCCTCTGAAGGTTTTGTTGGATGCAACGTCCTTATGCCCGTCTCCGGATGGCGGCATCCCTGATGCAGCCAACGAACGGGGCTGGGAGCAACGGTGAGACGCAAGCACGTGTGGATGTTCGGCGCGGCTGGCGCACCGCACGCTGAGAGCATGGCACGGTGAGGGTCGGACCTAGAAAAGGGACACCGCGTGGGACGTCAATCTTCACTGCAGCGACCGCCACCGAATTCGGATTTGCTCGCACCTCCTGCGGTCCCTCTTCCTCCCCTCAGTTCTGCGCCGAGGACTGTGCCGCGGGATCCAGCAGCGCGATGTTTGGCCGCAGGAACATGGCCCGAACAAATGATTTGTGGGAGAGGGATGTGCACTGCGAAGAAAAGAAAAAAAATAGTTGCGAGACGACCACCACCACAAGACCGGAGTGAAGTTGTGTTTTGTCCACTTGCGCGAGGGCAGCCTGCCACCTGGTCGGTTAGGAGGATTATTTTTTTTTTTGCGTCGTTGCGCTCACTTTTTATTCCGCTGCGTTTTCTTGCGGACCTGCGAAGGGAGATTTGCAAGAAATTCCTGCGAGGCGTCCGTGCCGTCGTCGGAAAAGCGGATTCCCCCTTGAAAAACGCTACTTTTTAAATTTGTTTTGGGCGGGGAGTTCCTGTCGATTCAACGCGGCTTTTTTTTGCGTATTTGATGCGTGTGTTTCCGAGCGGTTCGATCTGTGCTCCCAGCCCACTCGGATGTGGTGTGCGCGTCGACGTGAAGTTGCCTGCCAGCCGTTTTATTGCCTTCCCCGCTGTGGCTGCTGCCGCTGCCTTCCTCTCTTTCTGAGGTCCTGCGGCTTCTTGACAAGATGTTTTAGAGAAGGCGTTGCCGCTCTTATCGTCCATGGTATTTTGATTCTGGTGTCGCGGTCAGAAGAAATTGAACGAGAGGGTTTGCTGCCCTCTTGTTTTATTTATCCTCTCTGCCTGACGGCCAGTTCTACACAAACGTGCTCCTCGGCACCTCAGTTGGTGCTGGCGGGTTTGCTCACAGTTGTCACTGGCAGTCGCATGCGCCACCTCTTCTCTGCTCCTTTTCAGAGTCGCATTTTTTTATTGATTGACGGACGCCATTCTGTCCGGCGTGCCACTTTGATTGGATTGTGTGGGACTGCTCGCCAATGCCATCGGAGAAAGCAGGCCGACTTTTTCACGTATTTAATTCCATCTTGCGCGCAGGTGTTTTTCACATGTTCTGTTGAGCACTCAAACAGCGAGGTGTCCGGAAATATGCGTGTGTGGAATTCTTCCTGCCATGTGAACTGCAGGCGGCACCGAGGGGCTGCCACTTTGACTCCGCAGAGTTGTTGTTTCTCTTCACAGGGCTGGCAGGGGAATTCCATGCAGCCTGCTACTGCTGGTGTGTCCCCAAATGTTGTCACTCCATGCGAATAATGTGCTTCAGCGAGTGAGGGGGATGATTGGGTTTGTGTGCACTCTGATTCTTTTTGCTGCTTTGTGCGGGCACGCAACACTTGAGTGGTGGGAAAATGGAGCGGGGCGATGCATGGCTGCGTCTCGCCCATCGTTCAGTGCACGGTGGTGTGGTGCACATTGTGGTGCTGACTCTGCGATGTGACTGCGGTCTCCTGCGCGGCAATGGTGGTGGGTGGAGGAGAGTGTTGGCCCGCTGCGGGACGGTGGGATCGTGCCTCCTTTTCTCTTTGTTCCTTCCCTTTTGTGAAGGTGTGCACTTATTTTTGGTGTCGGTGATGAGGCAAACAGACGGACAACGTGAATAAAACAAAGTAAAAAAGGGCGATAATGTGGCGGTGTTGGGGTTGGTTGCACGCCTCACGTTGCTGCGGGGGCGGTGGGCCTCGACTGCTTCACCGACAGGCGTTGCAGTGCGGCTGCATGGCGCACCGACAGTCCCGCCATGCGAGTGCCACGCCCAACGCCATTGGGCTGCGGGACGAAACAGCCGCGAGTATCCTTTGGAGCCAGCGGCACCTGCTGGCCGCAGTTGGGCGGTGCGAGTGGGATGCTTCACCGCACGGGTGTTGTGATGGCACTTCGCCGTGGCTCTTGTGATGGTTCCGACGCTGCAGCTCGACATGTGGCGGGGAGTAAAGTGTGGCCGCAGTGGACCATGAGCAGCACCAACGTGAGGCTGAGTGATTTCCTTTGGAATTATGTTGGCGGCAGGGCGGCCGTTGATGAAAACCACAATGTGACGATGGAGGTGTTTGTTCGGGAGCCGGATGATTGCGTACAAGACCAGCGGCTTCTTGAAGAAATTCTTAACTTAACTGCGTACCAAGTGCTGGAGGCCATTACTAGGCCTCTTCACGAAGGTGTGTTCTCTCTCGAGCGATGGAGGGACTATGAAAGAAAAGAATACGATCACTCCTCTTGCAAGGGGAACACCAAACGGAGTACTCACGCAGGTACTGACGGAAGCGAGGCGGGAGGCAGAGGAAAGGCTAAGACGAACGCAAGAAATGAAATTTACCATTTCCACTAATATTGAGGACGTACTGTTTAAAGGAAGAGTTCGCGTCAATGAAATGAAGCTGAACGAATTTCTTACGAGGGAACTGGACGGCAGGGTCATTGTGGACACCAATCGGGATGTCTTGCTGGAATAGTTTTTCAAGGACCCCACGAAGTATATCTGTGATAAAGGAGCACTGAACGAAATAAAGATAACCGGTGCTTATGCGAGGATGGAGAGGGCTGTGAGGGAGGAAATGGATATGGAAGAAGTTGAACGCAAGCTTTGCGATAAGGGTGTCAACAATCTACCGGGGTGGTCATTAGCTGCTGCGGAGGTAAAAGCAGCTGTTCATAACTTCACCAAACATTTCTTGGATGCGGCTGCCGAGGAGGCGAGGAACCCAACGACGAAGAGTGCAGCGATGAAACTGGAGGGATTGTACGAGTCTGTGCACAATGCGAGGCGGAGCCATGCGGTGGAGCTTCCGGACGGCGTGGAGCGAAAGAAAAAGAGGACGGGAATGGGGGTGCATGAGGGGAGCCAGAACAGTCATGGAAGTACAAGAAAGCTGACGACGCTATCGAAAAGAATGACGGTGTGCAGCAATCCGGTGCAGCGCGTCTCAGGCTGATGGTGCTCGCCTCGGACAAGGGATGGCCGTACTCGTGGAAAACGATACAGGATCCTCCTAAGGACGTTTTTGTAAACTGTGAGGTGGAGCGATTGTGGCAGACCGTCAAGGGCGATCTAACCGCGTGGTTCAGCCCTCACGGTGGGACTGACTTTACGCCCGAGCGACGTGTGTTGATTGGGACGCCCGGGATTGGGAAGTCGATGAATGCCGGCTCGTACCTCCTCTACCAGCTGCTGCACTACGATGTCGAGAAACTCCAAGTGGTTGTCCACTGTTTTGGGGGAGGAGACGCGTACGTGTTTGACAAGACCATCAAGACGGTCACAAGATACGTGGGTAGAGGAGCATCCAAGGAATTTGTGCCGGCGTTTGGGGATGAATGGGTATGTTATTTACGATGTGACAAGGCAAGGGACACCGCCCGACGCAGGTTTTGCGCCCTATGTTGGATGGGGCATGATTGTGGTGTCATCGCCAAACGTGCGCAACCACGGTGAATGGGAGACGCAAGAAGGAGCGGCGCGAACCATCGTGAATTGCCCCGCCGAGATGGATGTGAAGGCGATGTGTGCATGGATGAAGCGTGACGAGACTTCGGAGAAACAGGCGGAGTGCTGGAAGATGGTCAAAGAACGCATGGATAAAGTGGGGCCGATTCCACGTCACGTCTTTGATGCGAATGAGTTCATTGCACACTCTGCTGCCATTGAGGATGCCTTGGAAGGGATCAAGTCCCGGGATGGTGAAGAGCACTTTACACATGGAGGAGTGAGACTGTGGGACTCTGAGGATCCGTCTCAAAAGCTCGTGAGGGTTGTCCGAATAAGAGCAGAGGTCGGTGCTGAGGTATTTCTCAACGCACCGATATGTTATTTCCTTGGGTCTCGATCAGCGAACCGTTTGGCAAAGGCAATGAGTGAGAGAGAATTTTTGTTGCTGGTATTGGGGTGAGGGAATTTCATTTGTCCGAATGTACGGAAAATTTTTGTTTGCGCGCGCTCGTCTTTGATGGGTTTGTCAGTGCATTATTAGAGGACGTTAAGGAGCTGAGGCCACCAGCACATGATATTCAGGACACTGTGCTGAAAGCACATCCTGGAGGGCACCCCACCGAAATATGTGAAATACCTGGAGTTGAAGAAATTGATGCGAAACAAAATATAAATTATCGGGTGCTGTACATACCGGTGGTCAGGGATTTTCCGCTGGTGGACTGCTTTTTCTTCGTGGAGTCACCGCGGAGGACGCTGGTGGGGCTGCGGATGGCTACGGCGGGTGATCATCACACGACAACCAGCACCGTGCGGCAGTTCATCGAGCATCTATCGGAGTTTTTTGATGGTTGGGAGGAATTTGCTCAGGGATTGTCGTGGGAGATTATTTATGTGCAGCACGCAGACAGCACGCCGATGAATGGCTGGCGGAGATGTGATGTCGTCAACCCGTCGAGTGTGGGAGATGTTGATCGTGGGAGGATTGCGGAGTTCTGGAAAACCACACATCAGTACCAGTTCACGCTGACAGATTGTT